CCGCTCATCTGGGGGCCAGTGTCCTGACAGGGCAGCAGGGAGGGAGGAGATCCCAGAAATGAGATCTGAACACAGTCTGGGCAGAAAAGACCACGAGATTCTCATCTCCACTTAACCAGCAAGTAGCCAGAAGTGGAGCTGTGGCTCAAGTGGTAGAGCACCTGCCTTGAGCAGAAAAGTTGAGCAAAAGAAACCCTGAGTTCAAGCCCCAAGAGCCAGTATATACATTTGTTACTCCAAAATGAAGGTGGCCTTTCTCCAACAAGGGTCCTCAACTTCTGACACCACCCTAGGTCGGTGTGTGTGTGTGTGTATGTGTATGTGCGTGTGTGTGTGTGTGTGTGTGTATGTGTTGGTCTGGGGTTAAACTCAGGGCCGGGGCACTGTTCTTTAGTCACAGTGCTGGGTGTGTGTGTGTGTGTATGTGCGTGTGTATGTGTGTGTGTATGTGTGTGTGTATGTGTGTGTATGTGTGTGTGTGTGTATGTGTGTGTGTGTATGTGTTGGTCTGGGGCTAAACTCAGGGCCTGGGCACTGTTCTTTAGTCACAGTGCTGGGTGTATGTGTGTGTGTGTGTGTGTGTGTGTGTGTGTGTGTGTTGGTCTGGGGTTAAACTCAGGGCCGGGGCACTGTTCTTTAGTCACAGTGCTGCAATGTCCATTTTTCTATTTTGTGATGCTAAATACATCTACTATGCCCCTCTCCCCAACTTGTAGGCGAACCCTCCCTCCCTGTCCTCCAAAGACAAGGCACCCCTGAAGGGACTGTCCATACTGTCTCTATATATCCAGAACTTTCCTCAAGTCTATTCTTCAGCTTCCTCTCTCCTTGGCCATTCATCTAACTGCCTTGGTGGGTTCTGGGGTCCCCTATATCCCTGCCATTCATTTCTACCTTTCTCTTGAACTCTGGGCCCAACTCCTACCAGCTTGCTGGAGGTTCTACAGGTGACACACAATTACCTAAAGACTGTTTCTCCCCCTATCTAAAGCCTCATCCCTCCGATAACCACTACTCATTTTGATGCCTGTTTCTTCAGTCTGGCCAACTTCTGGACTCTGTCTCTTCCCTGCCCAAATCCTTTGCTGTATGTGCTCCCCACTGTGGACCAATATTGTCCCGGCTCCTGGCCCTGTTTTTCAGTCTCAGAGAAGCTGTCACACTCAGAGCCACATGGCCAGTAAGGGACAGGGCTTGTAGCCAAGTAGGCTGCCACTCAGTCTCTGGAACTGGAATGTGCACAATGCCTTTTTGAGCCAAGGCTGTGCCAGACCTGCTTCAACCATGTGTTGTCTCCCCTGACCTGCTGAAACCCCACCCATCTGGCTGTGTTCCCCTCATTTCCAAAATATCTTCTAGGATGTTCTTCTAATTGCCCTAAATATTTTGTAATTGCCTGTGTAATTAAAAAATACAACCCAATGCTGGGTGCCAAGGGTTTTCATGCCTGCGGTCCTAGCTACTTAAGGAGCTGAGATCTGACACTCCAAGTTGGAAGCCAGCCCAGGCAGACAAATTCCTAAGAGTCTTATCTCCAACTACCCAGCAAAAGTCTAGAAGTGAAGGCATAGCTCAAGTAGTAATAGTGTCAGCCTTGAACAAAAAAGCCAGGCAAAAGCAAGAGGCCCTGGGGTCAAGCCCCAATACCAATGTGTGTCTGTGCACATACACACATAAAATACAACCCATAAGGATTGGGTTTTTTTTTGCCAGTAATGGGGCTTGAACTCAGGGCCTGGGAACTGTCCCTGAGCTGCTTTTGCTGAATGCTAACACTCTACCACTTGAGCCACAGCGCCACTCTGGCCTTTTCTGTTTATGTGGTACTGAAGAATCGAACCCAAGGCTTCATGAATGCTAGGCAAGCACTCTACCACTAAGCCACATTCCACCCGTAAGAATTATAAATCCATTCTCAAAAAAAAAAAAAAGCATTATTTCTTCCCTCGAATCCTTTGTTGTTCCTCAATCAAATGTGTCTCTCCCAAACTCTTCCACATCAAACTCTTCCCCTTTGGTTGTCTGCAAGGTCTCTTATAGATCAGGTCAAGTGCTTGAGACCAAGGGCGTGTATCCGTGTAACCCAACACGCAATGCAAAGATTGCCAACAAAGGCTCTTTGTCAATGAGGACTCGCACGGCAGTGACCTCGGTGTCACTGTGGGGGTGACCAGTTCTGTTCCCTGTCACACCAGAAGCAAGGTTGCTGGGCAGGACCAGAGGACATAATTGCAGGCGCTGCCCCCAAGTACCTTGTCCCTAAAAACTCTCTTTGTGCTTCTGCTCTTCAAGATGTCCCTTCAAAAACGGGGTCACAACCAGTGAGGAGTGCCCTGCAGCCTGGTAGTGCTGTGGAGCCCACAGCTAAGTTTGTCACCTGTCCCAGGATTCTGCCACCACTTCTTAGGCAATCATGGTTAATTTCTCCTAGTCTTACTGGTTTGTTTGCTCACTTCCATAAAACAAAGGTTAGGCTCATTCAAATGGAAGAGAGGTCGGGCTTGTGGCCCCCAGTCCCTCATGTTCCAGCTATCCATTTACATGGAACAGCAAATGAGGCTTTTGCATCCTTTGGTTCCATCTTGGCAGGCGTGGTAGAGATGCCAGTGGTGCAACTTTTCCAGCTGAATGAGCAGAGCTCAAGGAACATGGCCACCGAGAAGCTAAGGCATGGGCAAAGGAGGCTGGGCCCTGCCGTGGCTTCTAGAAGGCAGCCCTCTCTGGGAGAGAAACAAAGTCAGAGCCTATCTTCCCACCCTTCCCAAGAGACAGAGCCTCCTCCTCCAGGAACAGGCCCATTCTTAGTGGCCCAGCCTTTGGAGGAGGTGGTGGGCAGTTGTAGCTGAGCGGCCCGGTGATTCCAGCAAACAATGCACAGCAACGAACGCCCATTAGAACATTTATTTCTCAGAGAGAAAATAAGTTTCCGACAGTCATATTATAGTAGGTAAAATTAACTTTTGTAATCTTTACAGGCATAGAGTTTTCTCTGTTTATTACCTCTCTTATACCATCTGTTATAAACAATTCTAGAAAGCAAATAAAGTCAACTTTCTACAATAAATAGAGCATCATGTGCTTCACAGCAGACGCGACAGAGACACGCAGGCCCCACGCCACAGCAGGGCCTGAGCCGTTTCTCTTCTAAAAGAGCATTTTAAGAAAATGAGACTCTGAGACTGAGAGATTCAAAGAGATTGAAAAATAGAGACTAAGAAGAGAATGTACTGGGAAAAAGAGATGAGAGGGCGAGAGAGCAAGAGAGAGAGACCCGAGATCTTGTAACACAGGTTTAGACAAAGGTCACAGAGTCCACAGCTGACCAACTACCTGGGGAGGGGACATGTTGGCTCCTTTAAATAAGCCACATCACGTGGCTACACAATGAGGACTCCAAGAATGGAAAGTATAGGCCTGAATAATTTAGAACAGTATTATACAATTATATACACCAGGTCCTTCCTTAGCCATATGCTGTATTGTTTTTTATTATTGTACAAAATCCAAAATCCTATCCTTTATGCTATAGTTTTGTTGGTTCCCTTTTAAACTCTGGCTCGTGTCCCATGTATAAGAAGTTGGTGTGTGGTTGCATTTTTAAAAAGTTGCGTGTGTAAAAATGGCAGTGATCTCCCCAGTGACTTTGTTTTGTCCAAAACTCCCCTATGAAAAATTTAAAACAATTAAAAAGAACATCAAGTTAAAAATCAACATGGCAATCAGTGGCCTGCAACCTGGCCTGCGACTTTGGTGCTTAAGAGGTGAAAATAAACGTCCAGAAAACAGACGTCAAAGCTTCTGAAAGTTGCGCTGTTTTGTCAAATCAGCATTCCTCATTCACAGCTTTTTTCCCCCTTCCATTTTGAGAAGGTGGAGTTTGGGAGGAGGTGGAAGAGGAAGAGGGAAGGAGACGGGGTGTGAAATAAAAGGTTGCGTTCCCTGGTTTGGGAAGCAGGAGCAGCAGAGACTGGCAGGCGGAGAGAGCTGAAGGGCGGTGCCATGCTGTCCACAATGGTAGAAAGTGGGGTTTGAGGCTTCAGATGCAGAAGAAAAGCCACAAGAGAAGAGCAGGGCAGAGGGCACTCCTGGCTGGAGGGCACGTTCTACCCCACACCACCCTCAATATCCAAGTGGGCAGACAGACAGCATATGCCAGCCTGGTTTGCTGACGGGAGCTTCAGGCTGTCTCACAGCGAGGAGGGGGCAGGAGGGACCCCGGCCCCACTCACAGTACACATGCGCACAGCACACAGCAGGGCCCTCGGCAGAGCAGCAGCAGCAGTAGTAGAGGTCTAGAGAGAGTGGGAATGGTGTGCTGGTGGACAGGACCCTCACAGGATGGGCTGGCCTCTGCCTGAGCCCCGAGGAGCTGGCAGAGATCTCCACCTAGCAGAGTACTTGGGCAAGAAGGGGAATAAGACAGTAAAGAAAGAAGACTAGTTTGGTGATGTTTCTGTCAAATTGGCACAAGAGAAAGCAAGGAAAGCAGTGTAGGGCTGGGTGTGGGGATGGGGCAGGGAGGTGTGAGAATGGGTAATGAGGGGAGAAGGGGAGCTCCGTGAGGTTCCCCCAAGGAACCCTCATGCATCCACAGCATCTCTGGGATCAGTATCAGAACCTTGCCCGCCCTGAGGTGTGGTTAGCTGGGAAGGGGGTAGAGGGAGCCAGGCAGCCCCTCATGGAGCCTAGTACCTCTTGCCTTCTGGGCCAAGCCCAGCTCCTCTGCTGGGCTTAAGCCCCACAGCTGTTTCTACTTCTAAGTGGTTCTTCAGTGGAATATCCCGAGGGGTCTCGGGCAGAAGTTTTTGGCACATAGCAGGCCCTCCAGCGGAACATGTGATTGGTCAAAACTGAGGTCTTTCCCTTAGCAGGGACACAGTCCAGTCCCTGGCCTGCCATGAGAAGCGGAAGCTGCCGGCCATACATCTGGCAGGGACAAGAGAAGCTTCTCTGTGCCCCGTGGGATGGAGGTGAGGCAGGACAGACACAGGCACAGCCCCGCCCTCACAGGTAGGTGGAGGTGACAAAGGAGTGGGGCCCCCGGACTCGGCTCAGGTGGATCATTGCGCGGTCATAGGCCACCTGCACTGACTTGCGGATGCTGGTCTTGCGGCCTTCTAGCATCTTGAGCTTGTCCACGGTATCTTCTACACCCAGGGGCAGGACTTTGTCCCTAGGAAGCCACTGCCTGCAATGCAAGCACAGTTAAGACACTGGGCTGTGTGTGGTAGATTGTACAGGGCTCCTCTGGGCTCACCTGCCTAGCGCAAGCAAGGCCAAGCAGAGGGCCTAGGACTCTCTATGGAAAAGCCACCAAGAATCAGGCAGGAGAGGGCAGTAAACACAGGGTGCAGGGGCAGAAGAAACGGCATGGGTTCTATTTGGTTGCTAGGCCTTCCCTTGGTACTGGAGCCAAGAGGGACTCCTCTGCCATCTCACAGAGAGGCCTGAGTGACGCCGAAAGGTGCCGAGCCTCACTCGGCCTTGGGAAACTAGGGTGCCATGGATAGAAACAGAGATGATGCAAGAAATCCACGGATCTCCTAGGGGCTGACAGAGAAAGAGAGATGGAGGAGAGAGGGAGATGAGCAGGGAGAGAGAGAGCGTGAGAGGGAAAGACAGAGAAAGAATAAATTTTAAACTCCCAAAGACTTGTGTATGTTTTAAATGCCTAGGTAAATCTAATGTGCAACCTCTGAAGCCTGATCTTGGTTTGCACCCCAGTTCTGTCAGTGGAATCTTTTTTTTTTTTTTTTGGACAGTCGTGGGGCTTGAACTCGTCCCTCAGCTCTTCAGCTCAAGGCTAGCACTCTACCACTTGAGCCACAGTGCAAGTTCCAGCTTTTTCTGTCTATATGGTGCTGAGGAATCGAACCCAGGGCCTCATGTACACAAGACAAGCACTCTACCACTGAGCCACCTTCCCAGCCCTGTCAATGGAATCTTGACTTGCTTTTTTTCCTGTCAGTTGCAAAGCTTGAATTCAGGGTCTGGGCACTGTCCCTGAGCTTTTTCCACCCAAGCCAGAATTCTACCACTTGAGCTCCACTTCTGGTTTACTTTTTTTAAGATAGGCTCTCACCATGTAACCCATGCTGGCCTTAAATTTATGATCCTCCTGTCTCAGACTTCAGAGTGCTGAGATTACAGGTTATTCTACCATACCAGGCTTGAGCCTCCGGTTTCTGAATCTGTTTTCTTATATAAAAAAATAGGTTGTGGGGGGCTGGGAAGGTGGCTCAGTGGTAGAGCGCTTGCCTTGCATGCATGAGGCCCTGGGTTCGATTCCTCAGCACCACATAAGCAAAA